CTGTATAGGCTGACATTAGCCTCCACCACCTCAACACTATAGAGGCTGACATTAGCCTCCACCACCTCAACACTGTAGAGGCTGACATTAGCCTCCACCACCTCAACACTATAGAGGCTGACGTTAGCCTCCACCACCTCAACACTATAGAGGCTGACATTAGCCTCCACCACCTCAACACTATAGAGGCTGACGTTAGCCTCCACCACCTCAACACTATAGAGGCTGACGTTAGCCTCCACCACCTCAACACTATAGAGGCTGACATTAGCCTCCACCACCTCAACACTGTAGAGGCTGACATTAGCCCCCACCACCTCACCACTGTAGAGGCTGACATTAGCCTCCACCACCTCAACACTGTAGAGGCTGACATTAGCCTCCACCACCTCAACACTATAGAGGCTGACATTAGCCCCCACCACCTCAACACTATAGAGGCTGACGTTAGCCTCCACCACCTCAACACTATAGAGGCTGACATTAGCCTCCACCACCTCAACACTGTAGAGGCTGACATTAGCCCCCACCACCTCACCACTGTAGAGGCTGACATTAGCCTCCACCACCTCAACACTGTAGAGGCTGACATTAGCCTCCACCACCTCAACACTATAGAGGCTGACATTAGCCTCCACCACCTCAACACTGTAGAGGCTGACATTAGCCTCCACCACCTCAACACTGTAGAGGCTGACGTTAGCCTCCACCACCTCAACACTATAGAGGCTGACGTTAGCCTCCACCACCTCAACACTGTAGAGGCTGACATTAGCCTCCACCACCTCAACACTGTAGAGGCTGACATTAGCCTCCACCATCTCAGCACTATAGAGGCTGACGTTAGCCTCCACCACCTCAACACTATAGAGGCTGACGTTAGCCTCCACCACCTCAACACTGTAGAGGCTGACATTAGCCTCCACCACCTCAACACTATAGAGGCTGACATTAGCCTCCACCACCTCAACACTGTAGAGGCTGACATTAGCCTCCACCACCTCAACAACTATAGAGGCTGACGTTAGCCTCCACCACCTCAACACTATAGAGGCTGACATTAGCCTCCACCACCTCAACACTATAGAGGCTGACGTTAGCCTCCACCACCTCAACACTATAGAGGCTGACGTTAGCCTCCACCACCTCAACACTATAGAGGCTGACATTAGCCTCCACCACCTCAACACTGTAGAGGCTGACATTAGCCCCCACCACCTCACCACTGTAGAGGCTGACATTAGCCTCCACCACCTCAACACTGTAGAGGCTGACATTAGCCTCCACCACCTCAACACTATAGAGGCTGACATTAGCCCCCACCACCTCAACACTATAGAGGCTGACGTTAGCCTCCACCACCTCAACACTATAGAGGCTGACATTAGCCTCCACCACCTCAACACTGTAGAAGCTGACATTAGCCTCCACCACCTCACCACTGTAGAGGCTGACATTAGCCTCCACCACCTCACCACTGTAGAGGCTGACATTAGCCTCCACCACCTCACCACTGTAGAGGCTGACATTAGCCTCCACCACCTCACCACTGTAGAGGCTGACATTAGCCTCCACCATCTCAGCACTATAGAGGCTGACATTAGCCTCCACCACCTCAACACTGTAGAGGCTGACATTAGCCTCCACCACCTCAACACTGTAGAGGCTGACATTAGCCTCCACCATCTCAGCACTATAGAGGCTGACATTAGCCTCCACCACCTCAACACTGTAGAGGCTGACATTAGCCTCCACCACCTCAACACTATAGAGGCTGACGTTAGCCTCCACCACCTCAACACTGTAGAGGCTGACATTAGCCTCCACCACCTCAACACTATAGAGGCTGACATTAGCCTCCACCACCTCAACACTGTAGAGGCTGACATTAGCCTCCACCACCTCAACACTGTAGAGGCTGACGTTAGCCTCCACCACCTCAACACTATAGAGGCTGACATTAGCCTCCACCACCTCAACACTGTAGAGGCTGACGTTAGCCTCCACCACCTCAACACTATAGAGGCTGACGTTAGCCTCCACCACCTCAACACTATAGAGGCTGACATTAGCCTCCACCACCTCAACACTGTAGAGGCTGACATTAGCCCCCACCACCTCACCACTGTAGAGGCTGACATTAGCCTCCACCACCTCAACACTGTAGAGGCTGACATTAGCCTCCACCACCTCAACACTATAGAGGCTGACATTAGCCCCCACCACCTCAACACTATAGAGGCTGACGTTAGCCTCCACCACCTCAACACTATAGAGGCTGACATTAGCCTCCACCACCTCAACACTGTAGAGGCTGACATTAGCCCCCACCACCTCACCACTGTAGAGGCTGACATTAGCCTCCACCACCTCACCACTGTAGAGGCTGACATTAGCCTCCACCACCTCACCACTGTAGAGGCTGACATTAGCCTCCACCACCTCAACACTGTAGAGGCTGACATTAGCCTCCACCACCTCAACACTATAGAGGCTGACATTAGCCTCCACCACCTCAACACTGTAGAGGCTGACATTAGCCTCCACCACCTCAACACTATAGAGGCTGACATTAGCCTCCACCACCTCAACACTGTAGAGGCTGACATTAGCCCCCACCACCTCAACACTATAGAGGCTGACATTAGCCTCCACCACCTCAACACTATAGAGGCTGACATTAGCCCCCACCACCTCAACACTATAGATTCTGACATTAGCCTCCACCACCTCAACACTGTAGAGGCTGACATTAGCCTCCACCACTTCAACACTATAGAGGATGACGTTAGCTCCCCCACCTCAACACTATAGAGGCTGACATTAGCCTCCACCACCTCAACACTATAGAGGCTGACGTTAGCCCCCACCACATCACTAGACGTTTAACATGGCAATGAAGAAAATATGGTTTCATCTGAAGACGTCTGAAACCTGATTCGAATCGTGGAGTTTTATTTGCATGCAAATCACCTTGTTATGTATTCATGAAGATGATATTAGGGTGAAATTCACTTTTAACGCGATGAAGTTTTTTCCTTAATGTAAATCGTTTGAAATATTTGTATATGTGTGTTTTGTAATTCATGCTGCTGTCAAAATATTCACTGGTCTAATTGTTGTAATTTTCGGTAGTTATACATTATTCATCTGAGAGTATTTTTGTAGTTTGATATGGATCATTTCATATATATATAATACAGTAACTCACCATTATCAGCCATGACTTCTCCCCGCGCCCCATGATTGTGGTGATGTGGATCTCGGTAACCTAGCTATTTTATGCTCTCTACAACACACACACACTTAACACACACACACACACACTCGTGCCCTAAACACTCGCTTTACACACACACCCTCGTACCCCATGACACACTTCTGCCTCAACATAACCTACCATCTTAAGTGTTTACACAAATCCACTCTGCATAGTATTCATCTTCGCGCGAGTGCGGGCTTCCGGAAAATCGAGGTTTTCACCTTTTAGATACCACTATTTTTGGTCGTGAGAGCTGTTGGTCCCCCGGCACGGAACGTGATACTAACTTGCTTATTCCGGAATAGCTGTGTGTAGTGTGAGCGTGGGGGGAAGAGAGGGAGAAGTATCAAGGGAAAGCACCAAGTCATTTCGACTATATAGCACTTGGAAGGTGTCAGGATAAGGATTTGGGATGGGACGGGGGGGGGGGGGGGAAGGAATGGTGCCCAACGGTCGGGGATTGAACGCTGACCTGCATGAAGCGAGACCATATGATGCTGGAAGGATCCCTGCCGGACGGCTGCCCTTCCCTACCCTGTTGAATGTGAACACATTCACTCAGTTTTGTCGACTCTGTGTGCGTCCTCTTTGACGCACCTGAGCCGTGATTTTAGACGCACCTGAGACGAGATTCTAGACGCATGTGAGACAGTCTTCTAGACGCACCTAAGACGTAACACTGGTGACTAGAAAACTGTTGCGTTTTGGCTGTATGTAGTACTGACTGGTTTCCTGAAGCAGTCTAACCCCTGACCTAACTGCTCTCACATCGCTGCTCAGCGCGTGTCGCTGTGTGTCAACGACGCCAGCAGCCACGGTGTTCTCACGCGTATTAGATTACATTTACCTGGGGTCTAGGAGACTCGAACAGTGCACCCCCCACGTGTGTGTTTGGCTGAAGACGAAGTTTTATTTCCAGGGAAGTGTGGATGACCGTTTAGCGTATTAGTTTGTTGCCTGTGTTATAACTAGTTTGTCAGCCATGCCATCATCGTTGACGATAAAGTTATAAGTTACATCGGATCTTTTTTCTACTTTTAGAAATAAACAAGAATAACTGTCTTATCTTTTATGGACTGAAGGACCTGATGACATTTTATTTTCATGTGAGAAATGATGTGAAATTTCTTTTCATGGGTTAGGTAACTCTCTTTTTTTCAGTCGACATATTGTTACTTATCTCTGCATAATCTGTTGTTATCTTAGGCAGTTACGTGAAGAAAGGGGCCATAAATGATAGTTGAGGATTTGGTGGTTCAGCCTACAGTAATTAATAGTGGTCGAGGAGATGTGAAACTGTACTCACCTAGTTGTGTTTGCGGGGGTTGAGCTTTGGCTCTTGGGGCCCGCCTCTCAACCGTCAATCAACTGGTAGATCATTGTGATCTCATGAAGGGGTTTGAGAGCGAGTGTCTGGGTGATGTGTGGAGTGCCAGGTGGTACCTCCTCCTCCTGGTACTGGTCGTCAGACACTCATTGCTGGTGTCAACAGCCAGGGAGGTGGTGGGGGGGGGGGGGTTGTCGATCTGGTCTTCCATCATCCAGGTCTTACCTCTACCAGGTCTTCCCATCGACCAAGTCTTAAACGATGGTACTGATGACATTTTTTTTTATATATATTCAGAACGATAGTATTTGTATTTTTTGTATTTATATATTTGAGAAAGACTTATGTTTGAAACAACGAGATGGAATAGATTACAGGGTAATTAACCATCAACACATGTGAAATTTGAAGATATAAATCCCCACCTTGGAACATAGCTGCTGCTACACCTGTGAGCATGGCTGGCGCCACACCTGTGAGCATGGCTGGCGCCACACCTGTGAGCATGGCTGGCGCCACACCTGTGAGCATGGCTGGCGCCACACCTGTGAGCATGGCTGGCGCCACACCTGTGAGCATGGCTGGCGCCACACCTGTGAGCATGGCTGGCGCCACACCTGTGAGCATGGCTGGCGCCACACCTGTGAGCATGGCTGGCGCCACACCTGTGAGCATGGCTGGCGCCACAACTGGGTGGTAATTATGGCCACACACCTGAGGAAACCACAAAAGAAAACTCCACAACAGCAATTTACATCACACACGTGTTCAATTAAGGCCCAGAATGTCTTGAGGTGATCATATCTCATCACGAATGAACAGAGAAGAACTAACGAAAAAGGGGAGAAGAGCGAGAGAGAAGGTAACGACCCTTAACGAGGAGAATTGAGAGCGCTCATCGTCAATATTCTCCGATGTGTAAAAAAATACAAAAAAACTTCCTCAAAGTCTGCTATTTTAACTTTCCGGCCATTTTGCTAGAATTAGCGCAAGTGCTCGTTATAGCTCATCGTTAGCGAGGCTTCTATAAATACATTATAATGCGCTCTAGCACAACAACTATGACGCGTGGAATTCCCCCTTAATCCGTAAATCCTTCCCCAGGAGGAACGAGAACCGGATTTAGGAGCTGAAGATGCCGGAAATAATTAATGCAAAAAAGCGCGCAGTTCGGATTAGATGGACGTCTTAGACCCCGTCTGAGGGCTGCAGATGGTCGACTTACTTATGGTAATTATGATTACTTTCTCCCCGGATGGAATGAGTCGTACTTATCTAAAGCGGAAAGTATTACGGCTCTTACGTTCGGGAGAAGTGCGCTGACGTCTACACCTTTCCGGCAGGACGGTGGGAGAGCCCAGTTGTGGGGTGTAGGTGGGTGTAAGTGGGTGTTGGTGGGTGTTGGTGGGTGTAGGTGGGTGTTGGTGGGTGTAGGTGGGTGCTGGCTGGGGGTGTTGTTGGTGGGTGTAGGTGGGTGCTGGCTGGGGGTGTTGTTGGTGGGTGTAGGTGGGTGCTGGCTGGGGGTGTTGTTGGTGGGTGTAGGTGGGTGTTGGTGGGTGTAGGTGGGTGCTGGCTGGGGGTGTTGTTGGTGGGTGTAGGTGGGTGTTGGTGGGTGTAGGTGGGTGCTGGCTGGGGATGTTGTTGGTGGGTGTAGGTGGGTGTTGGTGGGTGTAGGTGGGTGCTGGCTGGGGGTGTTGTTGGTGGGTGTAGGTGGGTGTAGGTGGGTGTAGGTGGGTGCTGGCTGGGGGTGTTGTTGGTGGGTGTAGGTGGGTGCTGGCTGGGGGTGTTGTTGGTGGGTGTAGGTGGTTGCTGGCTGGGGGTGTTGTTGGTGGGTGTAGGTGGGTGCTGGCTGGGGGTGTTGTTGGTGGGTGTAGGTGGGTGTTGGTGGGTGTAGGTGGGTGCTGGCTGGGGGTGTTGTTGGTGGGTGTAGGTGGGTGTAGGTGGGTGCTGGCTGGGGGTGTTGTTGGTGGGTGTAGGTGGGTGCTGGCTGGGGGTGTTGTTGGTGGGTGTAGGTGGTTGCTGGCTGGGGGTGTTGTTGGTGGGTGTAGGTGGGTGCTGGCTGGGGGTGTTGTTGGTGGGTGTAGGTGGGTGCTGGCTGGGGGTGTTGTTGGTGGGTGTAGGTGGGTGCTGGCTGGGGTTGTTGGTGGGTGTAGGTGGGTGCTGGCTGGGGGTGTTTGTTGTGGGGTGTAGGTGGGTGCTGGCTGGGGGTGTTGTTGGTGGGTGTAGGTGGGTGCTGGCTGGGGGTGTTGTTGGTGGGTGTAGGTGGGTGTTGGTGGGTGTAGGTGGGTGCTGGCTGGGGATGTTGTTGATGGGTGTAGGTGGGTGTTGGTGGGTGTAGGTGGGTGCTGGCTGGGGATGTTGTTGGTGGGTGTAGGTGGGTGCTGGCTGGGGATGTTGTTGGTGGGTGTAGGTGCGTGTAGGTGGGTGTTGGTGGGTGTAGGTAGGTGCTGGCTGGGATGTTGTTGGTGGGTGTAGGTGGGTGTTGGTGGGTGTAGGTGGGTGCAGGCTGGGGATGTTGTTGGTGGGTGTAGGTGGGTGTTGGTGGGTGTAGGTGGGTGCTGGCTGGGGATGTTGTTGGTGGGTGTAGGTGGGTGTTGGTGCGTGGGAGGGCGAGAGCCGGTTGATGGATGCCTGTTGGTGGGTGGAGGTATTGATGGTGGGGGTATTGATGAATGTAGGTGGCTAGTGGAGTGTTGATAAGTGTAGGCGTTGATAGCTGTAACTCCCTTAGACTGTAACCCCTTGACTATAACCCTTAGACTGTAACCTCCCCTTTACCCAAACTGTATGCTATTATCCTGCCCGTACAGAAGGGTGGGCTGGATGCCTTTTGTCGACCCTTAACCTTTTACATAGGTCAGAGGGCCGGAATTAGTGGTGCCAATGACATTTTCGGACCAGACGCCGGAGTGTATTCAAAGCCTGTGTCTGCTGTTTTAAGTAGGACAGGTGTTAGACATCTGCCTCAGACCCCCTCTCCTACGGGCAGCCCTTAGCATGTGTAGGGTCTGAAGCCTACCATTCAACCACAACCACCACACCACTGTGACGTCACAACCACCGTGGCTCTACCACCACTGCTTCAGCCTCATCGTCACTTCTACGTTGTGCCTCTAACGCAGCTTCTAAATGCCTTGCAATTTTTACGGAATCGGCCAATCCGTTAAAAATGCGACGTATTAAACAGAATCAAGGCCCCGTAATATTGACGTTTTCTATGCATCGGTTTCTAGGAGAAATGGGTTCATGTGTTTCTGGGTAGGCAAAACAGTTGAATTTTTTACGTTTCTGGTGTAGGCAAAACCGTTGTATTTGTTACGTAGTTGGGCATTGAGAGAACATGCTCGTGATTGACGCCTCACATTAACGTTCCTGTACTTACGATCACAGCTACTATCGTAATGTCTTACGATCACCGCCTCTATCACAATATCTTACGATACCCTCTCCTGCTATCTCTCCACACAAACAAAACGATCAAATTCGCATTTGCACTACAATCAATTCTTAACATCAGCATTTTGAACTCCACCTCTCTCTCTCGTCCTCATCTCTCTCCTCTCTCTCTCTCTCCTCTCCCTCTCTCTCTCTCTCTCTCTCTCTTCTCTCTCTCTCTCCTCCCTCTCTCTCCTCTCTCCTCCCTCTCTCTCTCTCAGCCTCCCCTCTCTCCTCTCTCTCTCTCTCATCTCTCTCCTCCCTCCTCTCCCTCCCTCTCTCCTCCCCTCTTCAATCCGTCAACTCTCCCTGTGTCTCGTCTCTCTCTCTCTCTCTTCTCTCTCTCTGTCTCGTCAACCCCTCTTCTCGTCAACTCTCCTGTGTCTACTTACCATGTCTCGTCAACTCTCTTCTGCGGATTGGATGGATTGAAAAAGAGAACTGGATTGACTTTCCAGAATTTGTGTGTGTGAGTGAGTGTCACAATACCCCGTCTACTGTCATACGGAACGGCAAAATGCCACACAGTACCTGTCTAAAAGTCTCACACACACACACACACACACACACACACACACACACACACACACACACACACCACACACACACACACACACACACACACACACACACACACACACTAACACACACACACACACACACACACACACACACACCGGAAACAATCTATCCACAAGTTAGCAGTCAATCTCCACTGTGACTGACTATTTCTCTAGGCTCGTTACTGTACCGTCATCCCCTCGGGGGAGGGGAAATGTTTGGTAGTTCCCAGCACTATATGAGGCCGTTTATCCCCCGGGGCCGGACGCCCTACACCGGCGTCGAGGGACATAACATTTGCATCTCCACTCTCCTTCAATCTCATTTCCCATCGATTCGCTTCCCCTCCCCCCAAAAAATCTTACCAATTAAGGAGGTTTTCTAAAGAAAGCGTCTTTAAGTGCGCCGAGTTTTCTCAGGTAGACATTCGGTCGTAATAGATACTATATCTATCGGTAGATAAGACGTTGTAGACATATATTTTTTTTTTTTTTGAGATATATACAAGAGTTGTTACATTCTTGTACAGCCACTAGTACGCGTAGCGTTTCGGTCAAGTCCTTAATCCTATGGTCCCTGGAATACGATCCCCTGCCGCGAAGAATCGTTTTTTCATCCAAGTACACATTTTACTGTTGCGTTAAACAGAGGCTACAGTTAAGGAATTGCGCCCAGTAAATCCTCCCCGGCCAGGATACGAACCCATGACATAGCGCTCGCGGAACGCCAGGCGAGTGTCTTACCACTACACCACGGAGACTGCTCTATTTTTTTCATGCAGCACGTATCAGCCTCAGTTGTGTAGGCCTACTTGTTTCTTCTCTAATTTCTTCTGCCTATTTCAACTACAAATACGAAGTACCATTTTAGCTTGCAGTCAACTTGTATGTTTTTGGTCCATCAACCGAATACAGCTGTGGCAGCGACCAGGCAGCTGTGTGGCAGCGACCAGGCAGCTGTGTGGCAGCGACCAGGCAGCTGTGTGGCAGCGACCAGACAGCTGTGTGGCAGCGACCAGGCAGCTGTGTGGCAGCGACCAGGCAGCTGTGTGGCAGCGACCAGGCAGCTGTGTGGCAGCGACCAGGCAGCTGTGTGGCAGCGACCAGGCAGCTGTGTGGCAGCGACCAGGCAGCTGTGTGGCAGCGACCAGGCAGCTGTGTGGCAGCGACCAGGCAGCTGTGTGGCAGCGACCAGGCAGCTGTGTGGCAGCGACCAGGCAGCTGTGTGGCAGCGACCAGGCAGCTGTGTGGCAGCGACCAGGCAGCTGTGTGGCAGCGACCAGGCAGCTGCAGTTGCCGCCGGCCCCTACTTGCACATCTTCTTTAAACACTAAAACTGAACACACTATTCTGTTTTTGCCCCTCCATGGTGTGTGTGTGTGTCTGTGTGGGGGGGGGGGTGGCGGCCCATGGTGTGTGTGTGTGGGGTGGGGGGGTGGCCCATGGTGTATGTGGTTGGGGGGGGGGGCGGCCCATGGTGTGTGTGTTTGGGGGGGGGGGGCGGCCCATGGTGTGTACTCACCTAGTTGTGTTTGCGGGGGGTTGAGCTCTGGCTCTTTGGTCCCGCCTCTCAACCGTCAATCAACAGGTGTACAGGTTCCTGAGCCTATTGGGCTCTATCATATCTACACTTGAAACTGTGTATGGAGTCAGCCTCCACCACATTACTTCCCAATGCATTCCATTTGTCAACCACTCTGACACT